GCAAGTAGTTTTTAAATAATTTCTTTAGCATTTCCAGATGTAAATGGAAACAAAGTGAATATCTGAGGCCCACAAACTTCTTATAACTACACTGACTGCGGGCAGTCACCATAGACATGTGTTTCTTTTCCCAGCAGGCATTCTCTTGCACAAGCTGTGCCACAGTTCTGGTTCCTCAGCTGATACAGTGCCAGAAATAACCCTCCCCAGCTGTCATTTCCCCTTTATAAAAAGATAGTCTGCCATTAATGGCAGGTCTCAAACACACGCTGTATCCAGGCAGCCAGCACGCTACACAGGTCACCTACAGTACACTGACACTCATTCATTTCCTGGGACCTTCAACACAACTAATAGTGGCAGAACAAGCAGGGCAGGGACATAGTGACCTTGAGGGACACTCCATATTACATACATGGACTGCTAAAGAAATATTAGGGTAAGAAGTTTGGGAATATCTCAATTGCTTTTGTCATACTTTAAAACAAAATCTGCTGAGGTAAAACAAAGCCTTCAAAGTCTTTAAATCACCTCATTCATTAATTAATACTGAGGGAAAAATACCTCAACCAACACTGACCTCAGTCACCCGGTTACTAAAATTGAATGTCTGAAACAGAACATGCTTTATAACAATTGTAATATTCCAGTAACGATACCTGGACTAGCGAGGCGAGAGAGGGCTTGATGGGTCCTAAAGAACCGCACACATGGTGTCTTCACCGACCGCACATTCTGAAGCTTAGCACAGGCCAGCCCGGAGAACAGGGGGCTGGAACAGCTGGTGGCTACCACACGCAGAAGACTCGCCATCGGAGACACAAGGAGGAGCTGTGCAGTTGGAACAACCCTCCTCCTACATGTGAGGGAGAGAGAGAGAGAGGGAAAAAAATTGAGCCAGATGACCTATCCCACAATGCTCCACTCTGCCCCACTAACTGTAGCTCAGCTGTTTACCCACCTCCAAGGTGACACACATACGCTCATGGTTAACCCAAGTGAACCGAGCATATTAAGCCACTATGTCCTCTCACACATTTAAAAAGAAAATATCTCACAAACACAGCAAAACACATTCAATTCTTTAAAAGGAATTAAAGGGCTCAAAAAGAAATAGAAATATATTCAATACTGTCAAAAAGTTTGGGGTCAGTCTTTTTTTTTTAAAGAAATTAACGCTCTTATTCAAGCAAGGATGCACTAATCTGGTCAAAAGTGACTGTAAACATATATAATGCTACAAAAAAATATTATTTAAAATCAATGCTGTTCTTTTAAACTTTCCAAACCTGGAATAAAATGTTATCATGGTTTCCACACAATATTAAGCAGGGCAGTAATTCAACTTTGCCATCACAAGAATAAATTACATTTTAAAATAGATAAAAATAGAAAACTGTTATTTTAAAAATAAGTTTTTGCAATAATATTTCATAACATTATTGTTTTAATGTATTTGATCAAATACATGCAGCCTTTGTGAGAAAACACCCTGCATTTTTGACCGGCAACATATACATGCATACGCGCATACACGCATTAATATATAGCCTATATATTTTACACAATTTGTTTTTGCCACTATAACTCCAGATTAATCCAGAAGGTAAAACAGTCAAGGGGACGCAGAAGCAAACACTGAAATGTGTAGTGAAGTGCGTTTGTTCAGGTAAGGACTGTCTCTTCAGGTGATAAGGGTTTGTCTCAGAAGGCCAGTGCAGGTCATACAGTAGCAGCTCACATTATTATACTGTAGATATATATAACACTGTCTGCATATATTCTGATCCACAGTATACTAAATATAAAAAAAGAACAATAAAGGAAAACTTTTAAAAATAAACGTGCATGTTGCAATGTTTTTTTTGGTTGTAATTTTTGGACAATTTTTAATAGTTTTGATGAATGTTGTAATATTGAATATTATAACTCTATAATTAATTTTCTAAACATCATAAGGATGACATGTACGTTTTTAAATGATGGATAATGTGGTCAAGACCTCTCAGGTCATCACAACTTTAAAGGGTTATCAGACATAATGCATTTAAAACTAGCTACTTTTCATGCTAGGTAAATTTTAAGTTAGACAAAGACTTTATGATACAGATCTAATAGGTCTCACAACAAAATAAATAAATGTTTTGTGGTATATTATACACAGACGTCGAAGTATTTTCTTTTTTAAATATACATGCATCCCACACATAAAAGCAGTGCAGTGGTTATGCGTGTATGAAGGTGTGGGAAACAATCAAATCACACGAAACGTGTGCAGACAGACTATATGGGATTATCGTGAAAACTACAATCCAATTCCAGCCCCACGTCATCACCGGACCAGAGAAGTGACATAAGTCTATCAGATGTGGGGCAACACTTAACGTTACTGGCCCGTACACATTACCTTTCATTTATAAACTACAATGGTTCGAAAATTACAATATTCAACACGGTTAAGAGAAAACGAGTAGCGCCAAAAAACAAACAAAAAAAAAACCTTGATCGTCCTCGTGTCTAGAGTTTGTTATTGGACAGTGCAGAAGTCGTTCATTCAAACAGCTCAATGACACAAGGCACGCAGAATTTCCGTCTATAGTTAAGTTACATTTTATATTTTCATTTATATCACGACTCAAACACAACAGCCCTATTCACTAAAACCCGTTATGCACCACTAATTCAAAAGCAAGAGTTTGCGGTTTTGGGATCGACAGAAGGCGGGCACAAGCGCTCATTTCCCCTTCTTTCCTTTCAGTAACACACACTAGCTTGAGGCTAAGCAGAAAGCAATAACTACATGCTGTCGTTTGCATTAAGAGATCAATGCATGCCCTAATGCATTTCTCAGGATCAATTGACAATGTGGCGAGGATCGATAATGAACAATTGAAATTCTCACCGAGAGGAGAAAGAGCATCAATGAGCGACCTTTGAATTGCGGGACGGAAAGCTTACAGCCGCCAGCAACCCGGAAGTACTCGCGCTCTCGCTCACCTCTATCTTCTGCACCGCTTCATTCGACCGTCCATCAACATGTTAATCAGTCATGTGCTGTGGTGGGCGTTTGTTAACTAGATTGAACACAGACCAGTTTAAGATATTTAGGTATATTTTAGGCTTTAAAAAAAGATTTCGTACAGAATAAACAAAAAAACCACCAGTGTCTTTCGATTCGATTTGTCACATCAAATCGTGTTTTTTTTTTTTTTATGGGAGATTGAACATTTAGATTGGGAGTTGTAAAATTGTACCATGGTAACTAAAGTTTAAGTTTTTATTTTATTTTATTTTTTAAGTTTTACGCATTTCTATTAATAGTTGTAGCCTATTTTTAATAGTAACTTTGTTTAACCAAAGTCTTTGATGGATACGCATATATAGAGATTCACATGTCCAGCAGGGGGTAGTGGACAAGGACAAGACTTCAACACTGTTTGAATGAAACTCGCATTACAAAGAATCTGAGAAATCTTGAGAAAGTTGCCCCAAATAACTATGTTCTTGATTTTTGCTGCTATATGCACAGTGCAATTACGATTCTTCTGTTCAAAGCACATTCAGACCATACAAAGCCCCCAAAATGTAAAAAAAAATGTTGTCCTGATTAACTGTTTTAGCGTATGACAATTTCTTTGTTTCTTGGCCCCTTGAAAAAAAAAGTACACCCCCGCTTTCACAGACAAGGCTTAAACTAGTCCCAGACTGTTTGAGCTGTTTTAACTGAAAGCAATTAACTTGCACTGATATATCTTAAAATATGTCAGTGCCGTTGTTTTGTCTCAAGATGCACATCAGAAATGTTGACACGTTTATAAAAGCTACTTAAATGCCCTATTTTAATTAAGGCCTAATCCTGGCTTAATCTAAGCCCTATCTGTGAAACCAGGCCAGAGTAGTTGATTAGTGAGTGGAACTCAAGGTAAAGGAGCAATAAAAAAAATTAAACACTTGGCTAATAGTAGAATATTAAAACAATTGAACAAGTAACACTGACATGTGTTAAACATTTCAATTTAAAAACAAAATCATGATTATAATTAAATAATTTTTGCATATCCTTTCCTCCTGTTCCGTGCATTGGATGTGGTGCTTTTTTTTTTAGTTTTCCCTTGTCTCTCATATGTTTCTGTTCAACTAAATCCATTTGTGGAATGTCTGTGTACAATGACTGTTAACCATTAACTCTCCTCCCAGATTGCTACAGCCACTTCTCACAATTCTTCTCACACCAGGAAAAAAAGTTTTAGCTTTGCACTATATAACAAATTAAAATTAAAACACATGAAAACGCTTCCCCACCTTATTTATAGATCTCTTGTAATGTACTGTACATATTAAAATATACATTTATATGAAAAAAGTTAAGGGCAAACATGTTTTATTTGAGTGTGGATCACATTTAATACCATAACTTTGCTTTCCACAGTTTCTATCTAAAAATGTAAGTTTTACACTTTCAACCTTTTATTTTGTTTTCCATCTGATAACATCATGTGTGTTGGCCATGCATTTCTCTTATCCCGGTGAATTCATAAAAAAAAAACAAATTTCAAAGTGTGTCATGGAAAGTTATTTTGAGAACAAAACAATTTAAAAATATCATTTGACATTTTAGTCTGATACAAACAGCAGTTTGTGTTTGTGAGAAACACAGTGAGATTATTGGAGTTCTGTTACTAATCATCATAGTTTTGATGTCTGTTTTACAGATGCATGGATTGCGAGTGTCCAGAGACAATAAAGACTGGTTTGCCTTTGTGAATAAATGAAAAATGTCTGTTATTCTTGTTTAAACTTCAATATTGACTTTCAGAAAACATATTAAAATTGTCAAGATATAATCTGCAATAATAATTATTCTCCAAAAGAAATGGCGAAAGCAAATGGACAACTAAATCACATTAAAGTTGTAAAGGGGTTGGGTTTCATCCTGCCCTTTCATTCTTCTCCTACAAAAGCTCATCCTCCATGCAGACACAAAGTTGTGAAGCACAAGAGGCTGCTCCGCATGCCTCACAGCTCCACGTTGCTTTGAAGTTTAGAAATTCCAGGAGTTTCCTGTAACAAGGTCGAACTCTAATGTGAACCAGAAGCTGTTTTTCTCTCTCTGCCTCCTCACTCTGTTGGTTAGTGGAGTGTGAAGTCTCGATATGTCTCGTCTGTGGATCCTCCTGCTCTTGTTGGCACACTGGATCAACAGCCCGGTGCTTTCTGCAAAAGCAGGCAAGAAAAAACACCAAGGGAAGAATCAAAGTGAGTCTGCAACTCCCAAGGAGGACGTTGGTTCAGATGGGGCTCGCGAAAGTCCGTCAGAGTCGGACTTCTTGGCTGATTTTTCCGGGAAACACCGCCTGTGGGTGATCACCGCGCCGTCGCATGGTGACAACTATCTGCGTATGATGGAGAAACAGATTCAGGAGTCTGAGGGACTAAACTGTCGCTTGGCAGAAAGAGACACGCTCGTTGTCACTATTATTCAGAATGCCATGATGGAAGGCAAAATCCAACGCACCACCTTGCACGGAGAAGCCACTGTGGAGGTCATGGACTCTGAAATGGTGAGCAAACTTCTCCATTACCTTGAGGTGGAGTACCATACATTCTCCATGTTGATTCTGAAGAAGAACATGAGGGTTAGTGAGAGGTTTCCTTACCCGGTTCGTGTTGAGGCCATCCTTGAGGTCATTGATCAGCTGCCTGTGCGAAAGTTGGAGAAGATCGCTAGAAAGGGCTTACCAGTTAAATGCAAGATCACAAAGAAGAGGTTAGTGATGAAAAAAACAGGTTCCAGCAAGCGTAGGACCTTCAGCCCACAGAGACAAGTGAACACCACGTCCATCCTCACACAGAAGATACGTCTAGACAAAAAGGCAACATTGAGAAACAAAGTCCAAGATATTTTGAGAGGACGCTCGCGATTCGTCATCCGTAAAACGACGGGCAGCTCAGGCAATGGCAAACCATCAACTAAAGCAGGTTCAGAATCTGGATCTAAAGGAAATGAGAGGCTGAAGCAAAACAACCAAAAGAAAACTCCTGATAGTGACAGAAACAGAGAGCCAGTAACAGAAGTGAAAAAACCTTCTGAAGCAGATAAAACGCATGCTGCAAAATCTCATTTTGGCACTCTCAATGAGGATTTCAATGGAGAACAAACCGTTGACCATTCAACCTCTAAAAAGAAAGGCAAAGGAAACGATGGCAAGAAAAAGGGAAAAGGAGGGAGGAGGAAATCGCAACGAGAAGCAGATGATAAGGAAAAGGCAGCTCTCAAAGAATTCATGCAAAACCTCAAAGGGAGAAGAAGACTTGTTGTAAGTTCTTGATTGAAAATTCATACATATTTGCAGCTCTCCATGGAATGGTGTATCTGATTATAATGAGGTTTTCTTTTTGTGGTACAGGTGATTTCATCGCCAAGTGATGTCTCAAGTCAGTATATCAAACAGAGAGATGATAATGAGCTACGTAGCTGTGAGTTTTCCCAAAGAAAGGTCTCAGTGCTGTCCATAATGGGTTCAGATCATACTCTTACGCTACACATCCAACACTACCAAGGTAATTCAAATGTGTAAACACTGACATTAGTAAACCACATGTAAAATTGGTTATGAAGATAAAGATTATACAGATTTGTACAGAAGAATAATCGAACTTGTCGTACTGTATGTTTTTGATTCACTAAAAGAACCAAGTCATTTGTTTCAGGAATCATGTGGCGCTACACAGGTGGCGCTGTGTGTTTTTCATTCACTTTAAACAATCGGTTTAAAAGAGTAATTTGAATTGATGAATTGAACTGCACTTGTCGCACTGTATGTGTTTGATTCAATTAAAAGAACCGGCTCAAAAGAGTCTTTTGTTTGTAAATCGAACCACACAGGTCTCTTTTTTGATTCACTAAAAAAATCCAGCTCATAAGAGTCATTTATTTGTTTGTGAATCGAGCTGCTCCAGTTATATTTCTTTACATTTTGTTTTATTTTATTTCTTTTTGAAACAGACTCCGAGGCACCACAAGCATCCTTGCCAGAAAAGTTCAGAAACCCAGAGTTAATAAGCGAGATCCGCAGAGAATATGGGCTGGACTCCAAAAACTTCTCAATGGTATTGACTGACTATGACCTGAGGCCGAACGTAAGAACACTTTATTTTCTCCTTATTCACAGTGACTTTGAATGACTGCTGAATCAAAAGCATACTTGTGGTTTTTAGCTTAACAGGATTTTCAGCAAGCCAACGGCTCCTTCCGATTTACTGGATTACATTGACAGCTTTCCTTCACGTCAGTCCGAGAAGGAAGACGAGCGAAAAGCTCCATCACGCTGCTCTAAAGATGAAACAAACAATCAGGAGAACTCACTTCTGAGGTAAACACAATGAGTTTCACCCTGCTTTGAGCTGATTGCTAATCTTTCGAATTATTCTGATTATCACATGTGAATTTTTAGGTTTATGTCCAAACGAAGACTTCTAATCATCTCAGCACCTACAGTAGATGACTACTCATTCCATCAGCAGCTTCAGGCACTCAATGGACAGGAGTGTCCAATGGGTATGCATCATGTTTTCTGAGCTCTTTCTAGTGTGGATATTTCTTTTAAAATGATGAATTTACTATATATTTGGCAACCATTAAAACTTAATCCGCATGGACAGGTATCCGTCATTTTGCCTTGTTGAAGATTGTGGGTACTGGATCGACAGCTTCAGGAACAGTGGAGTTTTTTCCATTGAATGGTGAGATCATCAAACTATTCCTTATTTCATGCAAGTAATACATAACGCTTATGTTTATGAATATATTATGAAATGAGGATGGAATATTGATCATGCCCTACAGGAAAAAGTCAACCTGAGAAAGAGACGCTCTCGCAGGATGTGGTGGAAAGTCTCAGAAATCAGTTAAAGATAAACAGGGACTACTTCAGCATGCTGGTGGTGGGTAAGGACGGGGACGTAAAGGCCTGGTTCCCGTCTCCAATGTGGTCTTTGGGAAGCATCTACGACCTTGTGGACTCGATGGAATTGCGTCAACAGGAACAGAAACTGCAGCAAACACTTGGAATTCACTGTCCAGATGAGAATACTGGGACTTACCATGGTTACAGAGAAGAGACAGAGGACAGCTATTTGTACCACAGATCTGAGGACTAAAAGCCTTCCAAACAAAGACATTGGACATGCATATAATGAACACGGCATGCATTTGTACATTTGTCATCCCCATATCATGTGATGCAAAAGTTATAATAAACAAATCTTGTATGAAATTCATACATTCATCTTACATGTTGTTGCTATGTATGTCCTGTAAAATTTCACTTCCTGGCATCTAGTTTCACATGCTACTAGTATAGCTCTTGATATTAAAGTCTATTTTTTTCTAAGCTGAAGAAAATGTCTGAGTGTCTTTAATGTCTTTGTGAGTTACTATTCAAAAGTTTGAGGTTGGTAAGATTTTTTTGCAAGAAGTTTTCTTATGCTCACAAAGCCTGCATTTGATTAACAATCGGTTAATCATCAAAAAAATCATCAAAACATCAATATTGTGAAATATTACAATTTATAATAACTGTTTTATATTTTAATATATTTCAAAATGTAATGTTCATGTGATGGTGTCGTAATACACCAACATGTATAAAAAAAATTACTCTCAACAAAAACAGTGAAAATAAGCAAAAAAAGCGACATGCTTCAGTGTTCTTATATGTATTCCATCATGCACAGCAGGGAAGCATATTCGAGTATAGAAAGAGCAATTGTGCAGTATGGGATAGGCAAATAGATTTGATGAGGAGAGCGATAGGGCTTCCTGTGATGACAGTGCAGCGGGCTGCCTGCAGATAGGGGAAGTAGCCAGGAGTGGGCAGGCATTTACAGTCACAAATAAACTGAAGCAAACAGAAACACGTTCATTAGTCTGGTCGAGAGCTACTAGTCCATGAGAAGATCTGGGAGAGGATCTTTTTTTCGGCTCGAACCATGGTGAGTGTTCTTTCTGGTTTCATCCCTTAATTGTCATATTGTAATGGCCGGAATGTAACTTTATGACAGTTTTTAGATAAATTAGTACAGAGAAACTGATTGTATGAAATCAGATGGTGAACTTGTGATGGTGCAGGCGTTTTTCTGTGCATAAATTGTCTCTTCTAGCACACTACGTTTATCTGATACTGTTTGTCAACTTATTAACTTGTTATTTTACTTTTTACGTAAAATATTTCTATTGGTGAAGTATGTGCGTGCCATTTCCATTATCATAGGCTTTAGACATCAGTAAAAGATAAGACGCAAAAACTAAACTGCTATGAAATGAAAGTAACGAAATTTCACAGCAACTTCACATTTTTCTCATTTAACAAAAGTTCATCAGGGGAATGGTTAGGGGATTTTATCATGTGTTTTTGTGTAAAAAAAGATTGTGTAATGTTCGGCCCATTTTTGCTTCACCAACACAACTTAGTTCCTCTTCGTCTGAACACATTTGAGTTTCTCTTGAATTTTTCAGCCATCTGGTTTTCTATAGATGTACCTTACCGTCAATTAACTGCTCTTTTAAACCTAGACAAACTGTCACAAACTGGTTTAAATTTATATCTGGTTCTGCCCTTTGTGGTCACAGCAACCCATTTTGCTTCAGCTTAATAGCACATTTGTAATGTGAAACTACGGTAGGACACCTGTTTCAGATTGCATCACAGTCACATTGTGGGATCTCCCAAATTCCCTACCCATGGTCATTAAGGTTCTCCATAACCGTTTGAGAAGTACACACACAGACATCCATTGGTTCTTTGTTAAGCATGGGTTAATACACGCAAGGTCTCATATTCAAAACACACATTACACAAATCATCCATCCAAATAACAGAACTATGGACTTTTTGTGAGGCTGCTTTGCATGTCGGGAGCCTTTAAAGGTACAGCTGCATGTTGTTATAGTAACAGCCATAATAAATAAAAATGTATTCCGTATTCTTTGTATATCTTTGTAGCTATTAGGACACATTTTTTAAAGCATAAAAAACTGAATGCATTAGAAGACATCTTTCTGCTTATGTTACATTTTAGGTTATTTTTGTTTAAATTTACTGTAGCCGTTGTAACAAGATTATGATATTAAAGGGGTAGTTCACCCAAAAATGAGAATTCTGAATTCTGTCATAATTTAACCTACTCACCCTCAAGTTGTTCCAAACATGTATGCATTTCTTTCTTCTGTTGAACACAAAGGAAGATATTTTGAAGAATGTTGGTAACCAAACAGTTGTGGGGCACTATTGACTTCCATATGGGAAAAAATACTATGGAATTCAATGGTGTACCACCACTGTTTGGTTACAAAGATTCTTCAAAATATCTTCTTTTTCTGCTCCACATAACAAAGAAATTCATACATGTTTGGAACACCTTGAGGGTGAGTAAATCTTGGAGTAATCTTTGATGATCAGCTGACCTTCACAGACCACATTACAAAGACAGCTCGATCATGCAGGTTTGCTATGCACAACATCAGGAAGATCAGGCCTTTCCTAACTGAGCATGCAACACAACTTCTCGTCCAGGCCCTGGTCATTTCTAGGCTTGATTACTGCAATGCTCTTCTGGCTGGACTTCCATCATGTGCAACTAAACCTCTACAAATGATCCAGAATGCTGCAGCTCGTCTTGTCTTCAACGAGCCCAAAAGGGCCCACGTCACTCCTCTGTTCATCTCTCTGCACTGGCTACCACTCGCTGCTGTGGTTGACCACAGGTTCAGCTCCCTCCTACTTTCACTCACTACTACAAGTCTACATCCCTACCAGAAGCCTACGATCGGTCAATGAGCGACGGCTCGTGGTACCATCACAGCGGGGCACAAAATCACTCTCCAGAACATTCTCATTCACGGTTCCATGCTGGTGGAATGATCTCCCCACCCTCATCCGGAATGCAGAATCCCTGACAACATTCAAAAGACAACTGAAAACTCATCTCTTCCGGGAGCACTTAACATAAAAAATAAAATAATAATAATAATAAAAAAAATTCCTTTCCTCTAAATCCTCGCTTGCCTGGCTTATGCTACTCCGAGCTATGTCTGAACTTTGTATTTTGAGCACTTCTTGCGTTGCTTTTGCCTCTTCACGATGACTCGCTTGGTTTAGTCCTCAGTTGTAAGTCGCTTTGGATAAAAGCGTCTGCTAAATGACTAAATGTAAATGTAAATGTAAATGATGACAGAATTTTTCATTTTTGGGTGAACTATCCCTTTAATTTAGCTATTTGATTTAGCTATTAATTATTACAAAATAAACTTTCTCCAAAAATCATGCTTCGCAATATATCACAATTCAAGATTAACCAGAGGAATACAAGTGTTCTTTTAAAACCCTGTACAAACACTATACACTTATTTTGACACATATAAATTGCATTTACATCTGACTCTGGGGGCCCTAAAAATAACGATCTGAAACGCAAGTGTCAAAGCGCAAAGCGCAAGTAACTTTCTGGGCGTATCCCGGCGCTGTTGCTATTTTCCCGGCGGGATAAATGCCTCTTGCGCCTGGCGCAAATCTAAAAGGGGTTGGTCTGAAGTAGCTTCATTATTCATAGGTGTGGTTTGGGCGTAACGTGAAATAAACCAATCAGAGCGTCATCTCACATTCCCTTTAAGAGCAGGCGCGCTTGTTCCAAAGCGGATTCCTATTATAACGGCAGATTTGCCAGGCGCGCGCCGAGGAGAGCAACGTTCTCGTCAGGGCCGTAAAACACAGAGAAGTGACATTGGGGATGGAGAAACCCACCCAAATTAACTTCTGTTAAACAGGCGTATGATAATTTGGGTAAATGTGTAAGCTACATGTATGCTTTAATAATAAATTGTCTATCTATCTATCTATCTATCTATCTATCTATCGTAATAATGTATGATTTGCAAAAATGAAAACTGCTGCTTAGATGAGAGAATCAAAGTGTATGCGCGTTGTGCACACGCTACATTGATTATGGTCAAGCATGCGCCCTTAAAATAGCATAATGAACAACGCGCAACGCGCCACTGACTTTAGACTTGTTTTTTTCTGGTCAGTGGCGCAATTGTTTTATAGAACAGCAAAATAGCATGAGGGAAAGTTTGCGCCGGAACACGCCTCCTCTTTGCGCTGAACCGCCCGGGGAGCGCAAGTGTATTTCTTAGTTAACCGACGTGCGTCTGTGGAGGGAAAAGTCCGCTTTGCGCGGGTGCAAAATAGGGCCCTGGGTCTTTACTTCATTTGAGCACATGCAGCTGATTTTTTTTATGAGAGCCGTTTGATGTCAGTTGCACTAAACCTGAGGCCATGCAGTCTGATATTACACAGAAATGCTCTTTTTGTGTGATCTCATTGCAGTAGATAACAAACGAAATGATCAATCCATGTGGTATCTGCAAACAAACAACGTCTCAAGGTTTTTTGGTGTAAGTGTCCTTGGAGAGTTAAATACAGGTGTAGTTCATCACATCAACCAACTACTTGTTCTACTAATGTTTACAACTAAAGTTAGCAGTCACATCATAATTTAAGCATGCACAATTACACAGGGTCAGTAATGAACCAGAAATTAAACATTTTAGAGGATAGTATGCCGGTGTTTCTAACAAGCTCAAGCAGCAAATTAATCAGAAACACCATTACAATAAAAATAAAAATTCAAAACAATTACACCACCCTGCAATGAACAGGCAACATGATAAAAAGAATAGTAAAATTATAAAATAAAAAACATTATAAACAAAAAATAAAAACACAAAAAAAAAGGATAAATAACATTTAATAATTTACAATGTTAAAATACGGTATACAAACAAATCCACTTTCTCACAAAACTACAAACCCTGGAGCTTTCATAATTGAATAATTATAAATTGTCAACCTACTATATGAATTTTCAGGTCAGAGTTCACTAAAACATGAACTTCTCATGTCAACGGAGCAAAGTCTAATGTCACTACATCTGTACATTTTGAACAGGTAATCTATTGTTTTAATCTTTAAAACCTAATAAATTTGTGTGTGCTATGTCTTTTTAAGATAAAATTGGTAAAAATGTTAAAAATGTAAAACGCAAAAAACTTATAATTGGCTAAGTGTACGTTACCTTACCATTTACCAAGGCCAATACGCTTTTTGAACATCATATTATATGTAATTTTACTGTAAAGTATGGTCAAATGTAAAGTTTTAGCAAAACAATTTTTGTTAAAAAATAATTACTGTACAATTTACAGTGAAAACAGTCAAAGGACATTTCCAGAATTTCTGCATGGCATATCACACATGATTCATTTTCTTTAAAGCTGCATTCCGTAACTTTTTTGGGTTAAAAATTATGCAAAATAAGTTTTTGAGCAAGTACATAACCAGCCAGTGTTCAACACTATCTGCTTGCCTTGGCTCGATTCAAAACGGTTAGCTTGTAATAATGTTTTTAACTCCAGTGGTACTGGTGGATTTCCGCGGGAGATTCGAGCATGTCTTTGCGTCATTACGTCACATCTGTACACATAAAGAAGGAGTCTCGGCTTGTAGGCTATATTGCGTGTGAGGATGTTGGAGGTGGAGATTTATAGCCTTTTCTCACAGCACTTGATATAATTAAACTTATTAATTTGATGGCGGATCCAGAAAGGTTCAGACGACAATCACCAGTGACAACAGATTCACCCACTGTAAAATGCAAAAGACTTCGGAGTGGCTACAGACACTGCAACCGAGCCCATGCGAAATGGAAACTGAACTACAGTAGCCCTAATACACATTAAATGTAGTCACGTAATGCTGATGTTGTTAACATTATCAATTTCAGAAAAAGTATAATTTGCACGGTTTGACGTGATATGATAAGCGATCGTTAAATTTAATCAGCGTGATTTATTGCAATGCTTTTTCCCCTTAGTTGGTCAGAACAAACGTGGATGTGACTTACTTGTTCAGATGACATTTTTCCAGTGAAAATGCTTATGTTTGTCAGACTTGCAAAAAGTAGAATCTATGATTATAAATGAAGGTATCCACACGATTTGACAGTCGCACATTCTCCTCAAAACATTGGATTCATCCGCGCTGCCGTGCCGAGGCACTGCACGTAAAGTTGATAATAGGCTCTATGCACAAACGCTGCTGACGTATTTCCGGTAGAATCTCAGACAGTGTCTTTACCTCCGCATAGCGCGTTCTATAGCGAAGTGTACTAGCGGCCAAACTTTAATTAAATTCATTTTCTCAGAAACGAGACAACAATTTTAGAAACTGATTCGCTAGTCGGATTTCGCATGATATGAGAGATTACTCACCCTCAAAGTTATCAATGTAGCTCGAAATATATAATTTAATGCCCTTCTCTTTCTTACTCTTATGTGTGACAGCTAACTGCCTCACAATATTGTTAACATCATTCACGTTAACCGCTGGAAGTTCTTGTAAACAGCGAGTGTAATTTGCCATTATCTATGGCATACACTGCCATAGCGAGTGTATTTGCCATTATTCATTTGCCATTATGGGTGGTGATGGCGCAGTGGATAAGACACATGCCTTTGGTGTGAGAGACCCGGGTTCGAATCCACTGTGAGACACCAATGTGTCCCTGAGCAAGACACTTAACCCCTAGTTGCTCCAGAGGCGTGCGACCTCTGACATATATAGCAATTGTAAGTCGCTTTGGATAAAAGCGTCAGCTAAATGAATAAATGTAAATCTCCACCTAATGCAAAAACGGCTTGCGACGCAGCACCGGATGTAACTGGGCGGGCTGAGACAAAACACGGAAGCGATTGTGCATAGAGCCTATTCCGCGAATAACTGCAATTGCAGATTTCGAACAGAGACGGCAACAAAGAGGAAAAGCTACGGACTGCAGCTTTAAATAGTTTTGGGTCTAATTTTTGTGATCAGTAATATACATTAGGATGTTCTCTGTTACATTTTCTGTTATTTAGTTATAGCATTATTTACTTTACAATCATGTGCAAGGTTGCCGCCGAGGTTTCGGGCCCCCCTGGCTAACTTTTTTGGGCCATTATGATTGGAGCACTAATTTCTCCGCAATTGACCATGTTTTATGGACAAACAACTTATGATGAACTCTGATTCATCATCTGGTTTTCTGCTGAAAAATATACAGGCATCCTGTAATACCAGAAACATCTTCTCTTTTTTTTTTACCGTAAATTAATCAGGATATCTTTACACAAATACAAAGACATGACCTAAAATTTCCATTTAAAGTACTGTATGTGGTTTTAAAAAATGTCTACATTGCTGTTGTTTGTCAAGAGCTTAGTGATATTGTAATTGGTTGGCCAATGTCAGTTCCTGTGTCTAACAGTTTCTCTTTTTCGCTCAGTGAGTCAAACAGCTCAGTGTGTACCTCTGGGTCAGGCCTGTCTCATTAAAAACTTGTCCAAAGCTTATCAGCTCTTCCTGGTGAGAGGTCTGTCCTGATTCAAATGCTTGTTACCAAGGGTGCGTCACACACATCACCCAGAGTCTCTGATGATGTAAAGACACGTTAACACAAAAGGGTAGAACATAATTTTTCTGTGAAAACAAAGAGGTGTAGTCCACAGCTTTGAGATATCCGGGTAAATCAGCTCGAATTCACACTGGGGATACATCATGGACAAATAAATGACGGGGGGTTTTTTCCAGAAAGAGATTTGCATCCAGTTGCGCAAGATTTGAATGACGGGTAACTGACAAACTAGCTTTAAAAGCTAAAGCTATTTCATGGTTATTTTATTTTTATTTTACAAAATTTTATACGTGAAAGTAATGTTATACTGTGACCTGTGACATACTGTGACATATACTGTTAGCCTTTTCTATTCATTCTTCTGTATATAAGTGCTGTAGTAGTGATCGTAGTGACTTCCTGCTAGTTTGGTATGACAAGGCTCTCAGTTCCTGTGTGATCTCAGAAACTGTCAGGTTCAGTGCAGTTGACAGCTCTGATGGAAAAATCAACTGTGCTAAATTGTAGTGGAGACCCCAAATCAGAGGTAAAGATATTTTTATAGATATTTTTGTAATGTAAAACATTTCTATGTAACATATTTATGTGTTCTATACTCAATTTATTAGACAGAGTGTTCAGGTGGTTCATTTAAGGTATTGAACATAAATTTGATAAATCTTTTATGGGCAGTTCAATACAACAAAAAACAGCAGTTTTAGACTACGAGATAAAAAAAAATACACTTGACATAACCCTAACCCTAATTTAAAAAATGTACATAGAATACACATTTAAGTTGGACAAACATTAAAAGTATGAGTTTTAGTATTGTATACTGCTTTGATGTCAAGTTTGTAGTATTTCTTAATAGTATTAATCAAATTGCATGAATTAACTTAATTTACTTTAAATTATACAACAAAAGGTTGGCAACCCTAGGCATGCATGTCAATGAACAATATGAGCAAGATAAAAGGATAAAGAGTTATGATAAATGTTTCTTTCCTTTATTTTTAGAGGTTTTTAAGAAATATTAAAGCCTGTGTGTCTGTATGCCAAATTAACTCTTAACGTATTCCTTTATCGTAGTTGCTTAGTTTTAGAGGCCTATGGGAAGGAAAACCCTGAAAGAGTTTTACATGGGATGCGCGATATATCGGCCCCCATATCGGTATCGGCCGATATATGATCATTTTTAATAATAATATAACCGATAAATAAAGGATTATTTCCTTCAACTGAGACACTTCAGATGCGCACTATTCACCATGATGCTTTTGGATTGCTTGAAATATGATTCAATCCCTTCAAAAAAGGAAAATATAGTTACAGCAACATGTGAAGCACAAGTCTGTGATATAGGCTACATCAAATAATAATGAGAAAATTATAATTGTGTGCTTGGGACATGGCTTTTAATGAGGAGACTTTTGTTTTTGTAATCAGGCTCTCAAAAATTATATAAAAATTTGGATTTAGATTTTTTTGGCCAATATATCGGTTATCGGCTTTCAAACATAAAGAATTATTGGTTATTGGTATCGACCAAAATGTTTGCATCCCTAAGTTTTACCAAACAGCGACACCCAACTGAACCATGCAATTGGAATTGAGTTACACGCTGATAACGCAGTGCAGACTAGTGGTCGAACCAAGAAAACTATAATTTTGGCCTAGTAAAGAGGCCTATCGCTCAACGGTTATGGTGCTACACTTTGCACTGCTTTTTTGTTGTGTGTTGCTTTCAAAACAATACTTTTTACAGAGCTAGCAATGCCATAGGTTTGATTCCCAGGAAATGCATGAACTGAAAAAACTGCTTAATGTAATGCAAGTCACTTTGGATAAAAGTGTCATAAAATGCAAAAATTTAAATGTAATGTAGACTGTAATGCCTACTATATCACACACAGATAAAAGCTTAAACAAACTGACAAGAGCACAAATACGGATGTGTACACTCTGCCTAGGTTTGTCTCTGTTCCTTAAATTTTGACTTTCAATCTATGCTTGCAGGACAACAAATCAGATGTGAAAGCTATGATGGCTCGTTTCCAAACAGGAGGTCCATCTACGGAGGGGACTCCAGGTGTTCGTCCAAAACTACCTGTCCAGCCCACATTATCTTCAGGCCCAGCGGTGCCTGGTAAGAAGCCTATTCTCGAAACTAGCCTCTCCGGTGGAGCTACTACTACCTCAACTGCCCCCAAACCAAACTTTTTAAAGAGCACAGTCAACACAGCTAGAAGCGCTCCAGACATGCATGATCCTCCGAAGCCAAAAGCTTTCGGGACTAGGTTTGAAAACACACAAGAGAACAACAGGGTCAACTTTAAAGTTCCCGTTAAACCTAAACCACCAGACTTGTGCCAGGATTCTGAGACTTCAAAGACCCCATTCCCAAAAGGACCACTACAGAAGCTTCCTTCAAGCATTATGGCGAACGATTCAAAGGTGATAAGTCCAAAGCCACTGGCTACTACGGTAAAACCACCCTGGGTCAAAGATATCCCAAAAGCTGAAGACAACTCTAGCTCTAATCCCACCCTTCCAAAAATGCCATTAGCACCCAAACCGAAAAGCACCATGGCTATGTTGCGCCAGCAGCCGGAGGAAAGTAGCACTATGGAGCCTGCAAGACCTTCCTCAGTATCTCATCTGAAACCAACAAGTTTCCGTATTAAAAATAGCTTCAACAAACCAGAGGAAGTTGTTAAAGAGGGTGCTAAAGCACCAAGTGCTAATGAGTCAGTCTCAAAGCCTGCAGCGCCTCATAAACCCAACTTTCCAAGAAAACCATCCGGGCCTCCTGCACAAACAGTGAACAATGACCCTTCAGCCCCCAAGAAGAAACCTTTAACCAATAGCTATGCCCTGGGCAGCGCCCCTGCCAAACCCAACAGACCTCCCAATGTCAACCTTGAGAAGTACAAGAAGGGCTCAGAGGCTGCAACAGACAGTGAGTACTGCCCACCTGGAACAAACTGCACACGCTTTCTGCACAGAAGAATCTGATGTAACAAAACAATAGGCAAAATGCACTTCACCAGTCATATCAAAGCCACAAAAACTTAGTATGCAAAGCAGCCACTGCTCATAAGCACCGTAGAGTATACTTTGGGTCAAAGTGGTTTCCGTGGTTTTACTTGTGACTGCTCTGCTTTCCCCTGAGACGGTTAACAAGCATGCACAATAAAACACGCACCAAAAAGTGATAAAAATGAGAGACTATGTAGATGCATATCTTAGTCAGTAATTTATGTCCGAATGAGGAACATCAAAAGGTTAGATGCTGCTGATTTATGCACTTTGACACAGTGCAACATGCTTGTCTTTGCTCTTTAATACACTATTACAGCACAGCATGTAAATCGGCATCAGAGGTGCCAACATGAAATGAACATACAGGTGCATCTTGTATTAGAGAGCAATAACAACATATTGGAAATTCAAGATTTCCTGCATGCGCTGAGCTAACTTCCTCGTTTGAGTTTCTCTTTTCACTTGAGAGCTGAAGTCAGTAAAAAAAAAAAGGGAAGCTTTTTTAAAATGGGAACAGTTTTAGAGATAGCTTTCATTTTTAACTTGTGATAATGGTGAGATCCTGTGTATGACTAGGTTTAGCTCTTGAGCGCCATATGAAAAGATCAGATTATTTTACTATGGTTAAAAACTTTGCTCTCTGTGTGTGTGTGGGGGGGGGGGGGGGTTACCTGCATGATTTTTTTTTTTTGTGGAGCACATTAAACTAGATATTTTGATTTAAACTAGATATTTGTATAGTGTTTCAGCTGTTTTCATGTTAATCAGTGAACCTTTTGTGCTCTGCAAAACTAAGAAAGTTATACAGGTAAGAAAAGACATGAGGGTGAGTAAATCATGACAGAATTGACATTTTGGGTAAACTGTTCATTTTAAAAGATAAAAGCTGGTCATAAGGTTAACTATTTCTTGCAGGTCCTGTACCAAAGAATGTAGCTCCCCCTCCTCCACCCGCCTCTCACCCCAGTAGTCAAGCACCTCCACCACTGCCCTCTCAACCCTTACCTCCCAGCCTGCCCCCACGACCTTCAGGACCTTTGTGAGTACCACAGAAATGCTACTCTTAGTACTGTGACTGAATTATTCAGGTAATGACCATTTCTTTAATGTGAATGTGATGATAATTCACACCCTTATTTTTGTCTGCAGAATTCAAGATGAGAATTATGACGATGTGGAGAGCTTGAGAGAGTCATCTAGGGGTAAGAGCTACCTTTACTTTGTTGAATAGGAGTAAATTTAGAGCCAATAGCTAGTGTGTGTTTGTGTATATGTATGAATACAGACATATTTTCCTCGGAGGCTACTTTTCATTTTTGAAAGTAGCCTTGTGTGCTCACAATGGCTTTTTATCAAAAACACTGTAAAAACGGTCATCTTTTCTTTATCTTTTAAATCTTTTAATACATTTCCAAATGTTATTCATCCCTATACACATTTCTTATTATTATCAATGCTAAAAACAGTTATGCTATTTAATATTTTTGTGGAAACCAAGATATCCAACCAATCCTTTTCAGGATTATTTGATAAACAGAAAGTTCTTAACAGTTTTAAACTGCATTTGAAATATAAATCTTTTGTAACATTATAAATGACTCTACTGTCACTTTTGATCAATTTAATGCATCCTTGCTGAATAAAAGTGTTTATATATATATATAAGTTTTAATATATAAATTACAGAAATATAAATACTTACAATACTACAGTATATAATACATGGTACAATACAATATCTTTACAATATCTTTTCACATTTTATCACTACAGGCCAGAAAATGGAGGTAAGAATCTTAGCGAAGGCATACAGATACCTGGAAGGTACACTAAAAGTTTGTTTGTGCAGTGTCTCATGTCTTACCTTTTTTAGGGAAGTGAAAGTGATGGTGAGATATATGAGGATCTCGATGACAGTCGGTAAGATGTTTTAAGCTCTATTGCTGCCTGCCACTGTCTGTGATACACAGCGGTTACCTTAGCCACCTGGAACAGGATGAAATTGTAACATCAACTGTTTTGCTGCTTTGCCATGTTCTGTAGTGTTTACTTGTGTTTTTGGCTAATACATGGTGTATGGTCTGCTATATCACAGGTCTGCTGCAGAGACAAGTCAGCCTCAAAAGAAGCAAGACAAAGACATTAAAAATCAGAAAGACCGTGAGAAAAAGGAGAAAGAAGCAATTAAGAAGTTTAAAGTAAGATGGTATTTTTATTTTAAAGCATATATGTAGAATTGAATACCGACCAGTTATTGAGATTTACTTTACTTGATCATGAGGATTATAAAGATTTTTTTTTTCTGATTTGTTCGTTCCACAGATAACAGCACCCCTGCAGGTTATTCATCAGGTAAAAGCTAAAGCTGACTGCAAGGGTGGGAAAAATGACCTCTCTATAAAGAAGGGCGAGTCAATTGATATTATTCGAATCACTGACAACCCAGAGGGTAAATGGCTGGGCCGAGGTCAAGATGGATCATGTAAGAGTTCACACTATACAAAGTTTGACAATATGAACTGGTCATTGATCACCCCACATGAGTACTTTGTCAAAACATCACTGAGAAAAGACACATATGTAGTTATTTCTCTATATTTCAGTCGGCTATGTTAAAACGGAAATGGTTGAGATCGACTTCAGCGTCTTGAAGAATCAAGGCCTGTCTTTTCCTCATAACTTGGAAAATGAGGAGGTGTACGATGACGTGGAATCTATGGACGATAAAGGGTAAGAATCTGTAACAGTTAAAAACAAAAGTTCATTCTGCAGAATTCCACCGATTTTCCCTAATAATTAATAATAGGAAGATGTGAAAAAGCTGATTTGATCTGCACCTGGACATTAAACACTATAGTATCTAGTCCAGAAACAGTCAAGAAAGTTTAATTAAAACTTGCACAGCAAATACTGCTGTTCTCATTTATGTGAGAATTTATATTTCTTTCATATTTCAGGAAAATGAATGGGCAGCGGGGTAAGTTTTAATATAACCAATCTTTTTTCTGACTAATTGACTGTAAGGTCTAAGTTTAAAACTTGTATTAACTGTAACTGTAATAATTTAAGTTTGACGGGTGATACTTAAACGAGTCTGCCCTCTGCTGTGTATAGTTGTTTTACCTCCACCGCCAGATGATGATGTGTATGATGATATACCTGATTCCAATCCTAATCCAATAAGGTAAGAGCAAAATATACATATATATATATTTATAATGTAAAGTAATATTATAATAATGTATTATAATAATATAAGATTTCCATACTTTGTTTATGTGTGCCTGTATTCCCACACTGCATTCCTCTGAAACCATAGCAGTGGAGATCCCAGGCCACTCTTTAAATCGCGCAACTTCTTGGACATGCTCAAAAGTTCGGTTGAACGGAGAAAAAGCCAAGTTCACAATAATGAGTAATTTTTACATTAGTAAGCTGAAATCAGTCAATGTTACTTTTCTACATTTTCAATCCTTACCAATCACAATTGCATATGCAATTGCATCCATTTGCTCTAACAAAGCAAACTGATTAATTGTTCCTTTCACAATCAATCCAATCTGAGCAAAAACACCAAATAGTGCCTTCAAGTAATGTCTTCTGAGCCTCCTGTTATTAATGCTTTTCTAATCTTTTCTAACCATAACGTTGCTGGATATGGATGATTCACTAATGTTCGTTTCCCAAGACTTCAACCTCCCTCGATTTTGCTTTTATCTACAGAAAACAACATTAACTCCAAATTAAGTCTGTTAATTGGCTTCTGCCCATAAAATTATCACAGTTATATACTTCTTTTTCAGCATTCCTCCACCTCCACAATTTACACCTGAAGGAAATAAAGGTAAAAATCATTTTAGTCCTATATAACACTTAAAGTAACTGATACTTTCAAATCAACTCTATGTTTCATCTTCAAATGTCTTTACATCACAGACATTTGCCAAGACATATACGATGATGTTGATTCATTCCCTTCCGCTCCATCCACTTGCAGGTAAACGGATGTTACCTTAACTGCTTTGCTATTAATGTTGTAAAACAATATGATGCCATACACAGAATTAAACTCTTAAAACATATACTATATATTATATATATTAGCATATTTCAATTTGTGTCTTGATGATAATGATATTTTGCAGCCTTCCTCAAATGAAATCTAAGGCGACCAAAGTTCATGAGGACCCCAAAAAACAAAGGAAGTTTGAGAAAGAAGAAAAGGAATTCAGAAAGAAGTTTAAGGTGCGTATGAGATAACTTTGGGCATACTGTAAGACTCAATGCTAAGTTCACATAAGAGTGCTTTCTTCATTGAATAAATAAGCAAACAATTTGGTATTTACTTTACCAGTACGATGGTGAGATTCAGGTACTTCATCAAGCAACAATTGCCACCAGTAAGAAGGGCAGTGGGAAAGAGCTGGCTGTACAGGCTGGGGAGACTGTGGACGTCATCAGCAAATCTGACCCTGACAAATTCATCTGTAGGAACAAGGAGGGCAAATGTAAGTGACATTAATTGTGACTCCAGATTAGAAGACAAGCAATGGTAATAATAATGATGAAATTGTAAAATAAAATTTCAGTTGGATATGTCTCAGCGAGCAACATCCAACCAGAGTAAGTTACATTTTGTCAAAGTTTTTTTGTTTGTTTTTGCAAATGTTTTATCAATGTGTGAACATGCAAAACTAAAATTTTACATTTTGTTTACATAGTGAAGAGGTCTATGATGATATTGGAGATGGTACGTAGTAAATACATGCACCTGAACATTACATGAAAATATTCAAATGCAGTTATTCTACTGCAAATGTGATGTAATTTCAGATCAGAATTTAGACAATATCAATTAAAGAGACTTATCAATTATTACAGACTGCATCTATGACAACGACTGAAGATCTCACACCATCATCATCTCATCTTCTGGTGCAGCTCATTATTTCTGGCCCCATTTGTCTTCTTGGTTGTTGATGTTAAGTGTATTTATTATATGGACACAATCATTTGGAGTCCACTTTTTCTGTTGGAATAAACAGTTTAGTTCCATTATAAAATCATAGTTACCTTGACTGAGTGAAAATAAATGGCTTCTTGTGCAGATTGGCCACCAAAAATAGAGAGTTCTCCAGAGATTTTCACTTTCTTTTTCCTGTCATGAGTTCTAAGACACATTAATAATTCATCACTGTAATCATGTTGCTGAGTGAAAGGCAGTATTTTGTAACTGGTCTTAATTTTCCCATTTACTTGTGCTTTTTTGTAAATATTTACACAACAAAAGACTGAACTGTTTTCATAACATGCTAATAAATGTATACATTTGCTTCACTTTTAAATTCAGCATGTTAATTGCATTGATTTATTTAATACATCTGTTCACATGATTTATGTAGAACAGAAAAACGCTCTGCAGCAGGGACGTGCACAGGGGGGTTGCTCAGGTTGCCCGGGCAACTGCCCATATGCCCTTCTCACTCAAGTTGCCCTTCCGAGAAAAAAATTAAATCGTACAATGGATGCAGAATTTCACGTAGGCCTAGATTTAAAAAAAAAAATCGCAAAGCCTCATTCACTTACATTCGGGCACCGAAAGTGAAAGTCAGTATGAAGGGCAAACGCTGCACGCGACCATAGACTGCACGCGACCGGCGTAGGGCCACGCAAATTAAGGCCACGCCTCCATCTCGTGTCATAGTCATAGCGCGCCGTCAAATGTGTAGCTACAACATCCACGACAAAATGAAGCGAAACTATCCTTCTGGTCACGAAAAGAGGAAGAAGAAAAAAACCATGAGAGTGAATTGCGGGAACAACAATCAGGTAAACTTGTGTTCTCTCCTCTCTAAGTTTGATGTCAGCAAAGTTTGATGTTTTTCGGTCTTGCTAACCTAGCTGGGCAGGCAGTGCATCTCTTGCATCACTTTGTGGCTGACAAAAGTGAGAGTAAAATACAAGTATTTATTACGTTTGATTTTGATAAACGACAAAGTGCAACTGTGTTTGTTTACTGCAGCTCGGAAAACATAACCGCGTCGCGTTTGTTATCGTGCGTTCATATGCGCGTTGCCTGAAACTCGCATTTTTCAAGCAGAAATATGTGGAGACCAGACATACTGTACAATACATGCATGCACGTGAATGATGGCACTCCCAATCAAAGTACACATTATACTTTTAAAACAAGACACTGATTATCTTGTCTCAGTGTAGTTAAAAACTCTAAACAGCTGCACTAATTATGCAAGATAGAAAGCAATGTATTGACAATTTGACATTGATTGACTATTGATTTATAGGCTATATTGAATTTAAAATGTTGATTAGCTGGACATACTGGTCAAAATGGATGCACATCCCTCAGTAAATAATAACCATAAATCAAGAATTGCTTCAACATGCATAATAAAAAATTAAAAAAGCATACTGATGCCGAAAATGCCCAGGCTGTAGAGAGAACCAAAGTTTATCCCAAAAGCCAAAGCTCAGAACAGGGTAATTTATTATTTTCTTCTTATTTATGTTTACGTTAATATTCACTTACTTAATAATATTCACTTATTATCTTAACATTCTATAGAAAATACTCTATTCAATAAATATTGTGTGTTTGAACCTCATTCTGTTCTATATTGTTGTACTTATTCTTTGACTGTTTTGGTTAAAGGAGGGAGGATTGTATTGGGAGCACTGAAGTGTCAGGTGTGACTGTGTGGCAATGGCAAATGGTTTACATAGCTCACGACATCACAGGTCAGGTAGAGGGCCCCTTAGCAGAATTTTGCTTAGGGCCCCAGGGGGAGGTCAGGATCGGCACTGGGTTTAGCAGTCGATTCTGTTCCTTACCGGAATTCCTGTTCCCTTTACGCAATCATACTACAAATCATGCGTAGTTGCCCAGATGAGCAAAAAGCACAATTGAATGTACGGGAAGCCAAAAGGTTAAAAAAGGATTGTATTTTTTCCGAAATCTAGGCCTAAGCGTTTTTTTTTTTTTATTATTAGAAGCGAGTTTTTCCCCATCTGTCAATTCAATCCAGATTATTTATTTAAAAAATAAAAAAATAAAAATAATAATTAAAAAACAATAAACAATAATATGAGGAACTCTTTTTCTCATGTGTATTTTGGTGACATTTAACATATTGTTAATACATTTTGTATACTGTTTACAAAGTTGTATATCATAAACCTGTCATCTTTGACGTTTGCAATCTTTATAAATAATAATAAGACCATAATATGAGGCATTGCGTTTGGACATAAACACGATCAGATAAGGCAATTTGTATGGGCAAAATTCAACTGAATATATTCCCTCATATAGCCCTTGAGTTTTGGGGCTAGTGCCCTTTTTTCAGGTCAGAGCAACTGCCCCACAAAATTCCTGTGCACGTCCCTGCTCTGCAGGACAGTGCATGGCCTCCAAGACCCAAGTTGACCATCTCTGGCCTACATTCATACCTTCGCATTGTTTGGTTCACTGTGTTAATGTTTTACACACTTTGTTTAAGGGATTGTCCAGGTGTCATCAGGCAATCAGGTGAATGTCTGTCAAACAAAATTATAGATCGTAAGTTCAGTCAGGGAGGTCCGTGTTGTCCGTTAAATTTTGATGCGATGGTAAAAAAAAATGTTTCCATCCACTTGTTTCCAGCCATGTTTCCATCCACTTGTCAATCGAATTATCTGAAGTTCGGTAAAAAAAAACTCATGCGAATAAGCTGGTGAAATTTTGTGTTTCCATCAAACGGCTTTAAAGCGGATAAAAACCTGTGCGTAATGACGTCACATGCTGTTTTGCGATCAAATTGGTATATCGAATTGATTTGATACATGTTAAGGTGTTTCCATTCATTTTCTCAACGAATTGCACAACATTCAAGCCAACATTTGCGAACAAAGTTTTACTAGGCAAAATGGATCGCACCATAATAACGTTTCCATCCGCGTTTATCGCATAAGCCGTATACCGATCAAGATAAAATACCGATCGTATTTCATTTGAGTCGATATTCATGAAATTCAGTCGAATTTTACTGTTTCCATAAGGCATTTTTCATTCGATATCACTTAATGCGGATAAAAACGTGTGGATGGAAACAGCTATTGACTCTCTCAACTCTTCATTATGCGCCATATTTCATTAACGTTAGACTATTGACATAAGAACTGTTCTCTTTTTTAGCTGATATTATGTAATTTCGCACCGGTATATCATCCCTTGGACAGAATGTAACAGAAGCTATGTTTCCATCCACACGATTTTATCCGCATTAAGTGATATCGAATGAAAAATGCCTTATGGAAACGGTAAAATTCGATTGAATTTCATGAATATCGACTCAAATGAAATACGATCGGTCTCATCGGATTTTATCTTGATCGATATACGGCTTATGCGATAAACGCGGATGGAAACGTTATTATGGTGCGATCCATTTTGCCTAGTAAAACTTTGTTCGCAAATGTTGGCTTGAATGTAATGCAATTCGGTGAGAAAATGAATGGAAACACCTTAACATGTCTCAAATCAATTCGATATACCAATTTGATCGCAAAACAGCATGTGACGTCATTACGCACAGGTTTTTATCCGCTTTAAAGCCGTTTGATGGAAACACACTTTCACCAGCTTTATTCGCATGAGGTTTTTTACCGAACTTCAGATAATTCGACAAGTGGATGGAAACGCTGTTTAAGTATCATCTTCTTCACCCTCTTGTAGCTGTACATCGTGTTAACTGGGGAATGCGCGTTCACGCAAGTAATTTTACCTGGCTTTCCAGCAGATGCAACAGATTCGTCGAATGCGATTTTCCACGGAACACAAATAAACAAAAATGTTTTTCACATTATTTGAAAATGTTTGTATCATTATTGGACAGTGTTGTTTCCTCGATAACTGTTCTCATGTATTTCATGCAAGAACAAGAAAACACAGAAAAAACTGTATGTGG